CAACTCTCATGCTGCTCTCAGCTGTTCCCTACACCTTCCCAAGCTCATTCTCCCGGTCGCCTGGGCCAGGCCTGGGGACTCACAGCTGAGAGGCCTGCTTCTCCATCCGTTTCTACTTTCCTGCTTCACACCTGCCTCACACCGGGCTTGGAGCTTCCCTCTCCCGGGGCCTGCTCTGGTCAGCCTCTGAATTGTGTAACCTCACAGATGAGCTGATCACCCTTTCCTAACTGGGCAGGTCCTGGTGGGGAGCCGCGCCCCAGACCTATAACTTTTCAGTTGATCTTTGCCTTAAGCAGGCCTTGTCCATTGTTTCTGTGCATCTAGGTCAGCGGTTCTCAACCTGTGGGGGCCGAACGACCCTTTCACAGGGGTCGCCTAAGACCATCGGAAAACACATATATAATTACATATTGTTTTTGTGATTAATCACTATGCTTTAATTATGTTCAATTTGTAACAATGAAATTGGGGGTCACCACAACATGAGGAACTGTATTAAAGGGTCGCGACATTAGGAAGGTTGAGAACCACTGATCTAGGTTAACAGGCCTTTCTACCTAAACAGCCTGCAGTGTTTTCTGTGCTTAGGGGAAGTAGCGGTCCACAGCCCCAAGGCACCAATCCTGCCCTCCATCCCCACCTTGGCTTTGTCCCACCTCCAAGGTGATCTTCCTTGTCCCTCCTTAATCTCAAGGCGTGAGAGAAGCCTGAGCATTTGAGATCTTGCTCCCAGGCATATGTCATCTGTTGTCAGATTGGCTCAAATAAACTCTCATAAAAATTCTCTACAGGTCTAGCTGCTTCTTGTGTGGACAGAATCCACATTCCCAAGATAGAAGAATTCTACCTGCCCTGCCGGCGACTGTCACTTGTAAAGTATTTGTTTAATCTCCCAACATCAGTTAGAAGCTGCTCCAGGCCCTACCCGGTTTGGCTCAGTGGATAGAGTGTCTGCCTATAGATTGAAGGGTCCCAGGTTTGATTCCGGTCATGCGCACTGCTCAGGTTGCAGGCTCAATCCCCAGTAGGGGGTGTGCAGGAGGCAGCCGATCAACGATTCTCTCTCATCATTGATGTTTCTATCTCTCTCTCTCCCTCTCCCTTCCTCTCTGAAATCAATAAAAATATATTATAAAAAATAAAAAAATAAAAAAAAGCTGCTCCGGGACACACACGCATCCCTGTTTAATTCTCTGAATCAAATCACGGGCCGAAGACAGTTCTCTAACACTGAATGTCAAACGGATGATTTGGGGAGGAGGGGAGCTCATTCAGTTTTGGTAAGACGACCTTCAATTTAAACATTTTGCCCAACGCCTCCCCCCAAAACCCTGGGCCAATCATGTGGTCGGTACTGTGCTTTTCAAATGCATTCACTTTGTCCTGCTGTCCACAAGCAAGTCCTTCTCACCTAAAACCTTTCCCCTCAGCGGCCTACACATCCTGATAGAAGCCACCCAGAAGCTAGGTCTGTCTCCCTGGAGGAGAAGACCGGGACCTCGGGCAGACAGGGGCCTCCGCCCTCCCAAATGCCCTCCACCCCCCACCCCAGGTCCTGAGCAGGGAGCCCGAACAGGGAGCCCGTTATGGAAAGGAAGTGAAAGGTCATCACAGTGAAAAGGTTGGTGCCAGACTGCACAGCTTGCCCAGGGGAGATGTGGAAATCATCTCCGTAACATAAAACAAACAGGAAACTCGCCCTGTGACGACACTGGGATTCCAAGAATACAGTCAATATAGTAACCGAGATATGCAACTGAATCGGTGTCGTCAGAAGACTTTCAACATCGCCTTGAAAATGAACAGAGAGGGAGAGAGGCCGGGGTCAGGTGGAAAGGTACATACATGTAGGCGGGTAGATAGAGAAGGTATACAGATTTTGTGCTATTAACAACAAAGACACAAAATATTCTTTCTACCAAACTCTGGCATATGGCGGACAATGGGATCACATTCACCTTTGTCATCCATTCACCTGCATTGGCCCATTTAATTCCCACTAGACCCCTAGGAAGTAGGTACCATTGTTACCCTCATTTATGGATGAGAAGACCGAGGCTTGGGGGTCGAGAAACTTGCCCGACGTCACAGCGGGCAAAGAGCAGAGCTGGGCATCAGGTCAGGTCCAGCTCAAAAGGCACACGCTTACCGCCCAAGTGAAGTGGTAAGTCCACCATATGAAAAGTTCCAGCCCTGGCTCAAGTGGCTGAGCATCATCCCATGCACTGAAAGGTCGCTGGTTCGATGCCTGGTAGGGCACATTCCTAGGTTTCTTGGGTTCAACCCCCGCTTGGGCTGCATGCGGGAGGCAACCGATCAATGTTTTTCTCTCACATGGATGTTTCTCTATGTCTTCCTTCTCTCTTAAAAAAAAAAAAAAAAAGTCCCACTTAAGGTTCCTAAAGTTACAACACAGATATGAAATTAGGTCACCCTGTTGGAACCAACATGATATGATTGCAGCCAGCAACAAAACTACAGTAACTGCAAACGCGACAGTGCCAACTCTAAAATTATTCGCACGCTCGCCTTTCCGCTAGGATTGCGCAATTCCCCGCCACACAGGAGCTGGCCCTGCCTCTATTAAAGTCCAGCTGACGATGCCGGAACCGGTTTGGCTCAGTGGATGGAGCGTCGGCCTGCGGACTGAAGGGTCCCAGGTTCGATTCCGGTCAAGGGCATGTACCTTGGTTGCGGGCACATCCCCAGTAGGAGATGTACAGGAGGCAGCTGATCGATGTTTCTCTCTCATTGATGTTTCTAACTCTCTATCTCTCTCCTTTCCTCTCTGTAAAAAATCAATAAAATATATTAAAAATAAATAAATAAAGTCCAGCTGATGGCCTCGCCGGGTGGCTCAATTGGTTGGAGCGTTGTCCGGTATTCCAAAAGGTCGCGGGTTTGATCCCTGCTGGAGGCACATGTGGAGAGGCAACTGATCGATGTTCCTCTCTCTCCAAAATCAATAAAAAGATATCCTCAGCTGAGGATTAAAAAAAAAAAAAAAAGGAATCCAGCTGCCAGCGGGCCCATCTCGCGCCGAGGTAAATTACTGTGCTGGGAATTCTCTAAGAAAAGGTGACCCACAGGGAGCGACGGCTTAGCACAGCACGCGCGCCAGGCAGGGTCTCCAGAAGCACAGCCCTGGCCCTCACCGGGGAGAAAGCCTGAGTGTGTGCGACATGCGGCCACCATGGCTGGGAGCACCCCTGAGAGAGGAAACTGAGGAGGAGGAGGAGGAGGAGAATGAGCAGCGTCATCTTTAGCGAACGGCAGCACGTACGGTCTGGTGAGCAACGCCCAGGAGGGTTCTGTTTGCACCCGGAAGTACCCGCTCCCACGTGGGAAAGCCACACCCCTGCCATGCATGCCTACCGAGGTGGCACCAGGCCGGCCCGGGCACTGCTACCCAAAGCACTTCAAGGCCAGTACCAGGAAGGATCTGGAAGGGCATCACCAGCCCGGGGGTGTCCCTGACCCCCGCCTGTGCAGGACTCTTCTCCCGCCCCTTCTTCCTGCTTGGCATTTGGTGTTCCTGCTGCTATGCTGCTGACTAGGGTGAGAAGTCAGGTGCAGCAACAATTAGCAGCAACAGGAAGAAGAAACAAACAGCCCCTGTCCACGCCTTTGTGGGCGGGAATCCTCCGTGCACCCCGTGGGCCACGTCGCCCCCCACATGCAGAAGTGATGCTCTGTGGTTGTGCTCTAGGGTGTGTGTGCTTTTTCAGAAAGTGTGAACACAAACACCTACAAACTGCTCTTCCCCCGACCTGATGGCACCGCAGACAGACTGTGGGGCGGCTCAAAACTCACGTTCTGTGCCTGGGAGGGCGGGAACTTTCACTTATGAAACATTTTATCTTCAATTCATGACTGGGCATTCAACAGTTGCATTTTTTAAAGGGCTAATGCCTTGCAATGAAGTATCTTATAATTAAACCACTTACAGTTACTGAGTAAATGCAAAGTCAAGCCAGGTCATAAAGGGAATTCTGAATCATATTTTTCTGCGGCTCTCGGAAAGCAATGAGTCTATAGAATCAAAAGCAAATTCAAGGTTAAGCCTCTATTTCCCCACATCAACAAGGACTAGGCAATCAAACAGAGAAATGAGATCTTCACAAGAATTGGGGAAAGCTCACTGCGGGTCACATTTTTGTAAAGAACCCCGTCAGCATGATTGCAGGGAGAGGCGTGCGCCTGCCCCAAGATTCCCCAATCTCTCCCCTACCAGGATGCCGCTGTCACAAATGTTTCTAAAACCATGGGGGTGGGGGGTGCCCCGATTTCCCACGCATACTTCACCTTTGCACCCGGAAGTACAACCGGACTTGTGGAGGCACTGCAGGACACCGTCTACCCACCTGCAGCCCCGCACTGCGTGCGAGGACCTGTATTCATCCCCTACCCTGAAAACTCCTCTCAGGCCTGGCCTCTTACTGGACCCTCATAAAACCATGTGACAGGACAGCAGGTGTCAGGGCACCACTGCCCAGATGAGGAAATGGAAACCCAGAAACCTCCACGGCTGATTCAGCATCACGTCCAATGGGCACGGGGGTGGCGGTCTGCAAAGCAGCGGAAAAAGGGCGGGAGACAGGCTTTGGAGAGCACAGATCCGGGTTCCTATTCCAACTCAGCCACTTACTCAGTCCCACATGCACGCATGTGCGTGCGTCCCCTTTGAGAAAAGGTCACATCACCTTTTGTAAGATCTGTTTATTGGCATATAAAGTACAGATGCTCCTTGACTTAATATCCCCATAAATGCATTGTAACTTGAAAATGCACTTAATGACATCCGAGCTTAGCCCAGCCTACTTTCAGCGCGCTCAGAACACAACATCCAATCCTAAGGCAAACCATCTTCGTAAGTCAGGACCGTCTGCATGCGTAATACCCACGACCTCACACCAACAGGAGAGCGAGTGACGGGACCAAGTCCACATTAGGTGTTCCCACAGGAACAGTCTTTCTTCCCTCCCAGCTGTAGCGGGTGCTGAGAACGCCCACACGCCAGGGCCTGGGACCTCCGCCGATGTCTTGGACATTTAACTTTCTGCAGCGTTGCCGATTTATTTTACACGTACCTTACTGTACCTCACATTACTCAAGGTGTGCTTGAGAAGGTAGGAAGAAACCCAAACTATGCACATTACATCTTTTTAAGGGCAGCAGCGGAGCTAACACCTGGGGAATTCAGTGGCAAGCGCCTAACTTTAGAAATGAGAATTCTTCCATAAAAAGCAACGTCTGAGTTAGAGCACATGCCAATTTCTTAAAAGCAAGGTTATTTTGCGTTTGCTTTTAACACAAACATGCATTACCTTTTTTAAAAACATTTTTTTATTGATTTCAGAGGGGAAGGGAGAGAGAGAAACATCAATGCTGAGAGAGAATCATTGATCAGCTGCCTCCTACACACCCCACACTGGGGATTGAGCCCGCAACCTGGGCATGTGCCCCCGACCGGAATTGAACCTGGGACCCTTCAGTCCACAGGCCGATGCTCTGTCCACTGAGCCAAATCAGCCAGGGCAACATGCATTACTTTTTTTAACAAGGGGCGAAGGATTCTAAAGAGAGGGAATCAACCCCTAACCTGAAACCTCAGAAATGTGCGGAATGCTGTGCGTGTGCTGAGGAACAAGATCCAAGGGACCCCTCAGGAAGCCAGGACTGGTGAGAGCCGGAGGGGAGTCTTTCCTTTTGATGTGGGGAATGAATGAGCTCACTGATATCCAGGCCAGACTTCCTTGATCACAGTGATAGGGTAAAGCAAGGTGCATGGTGAGGAAGGAGCCAACAGCTTCTGCTGCTTCAGGCTGACTTGGCACCAGCTTCCTGTGCCCAACGGATCCCCATCACCTTAGGGGGTCGCAGCAATCCGGGACAGAGAGGTTCTCAAACATTCTCTAGTTTGTTCCCTGCTCTGGCTCAGGGAAATGGCCTTCCTAAAAGGCCAGCTTAGGGGCCATTTAGGAAGCAGAAGTAGCAGGTGGGTTTGGGAGACAGTCGGGGGGAACCCAGGATGCCCCTCAGGTTCCTGGGATGGGTGTGTGGGAGAATGACCACATGAAGAGTATGGGACATTCTTTTCCTTATTAGCTAAAGAACTCCGAGTCCAACAATTAGTCGATGATCCTTGGGAAGGAGGGCAGTAGCCGGCCTATTTCCCAACCCTCCAGGTGTCTGTGACCCTGCCATACAACTGGGAGGGGCAGGCCTCACTCAGCAGCACCACTTCTTTCAATGATCAACTTCAGGGAACAACCGCGCAGGACATAAAAATAACACACACACAAGCAAAGGTGGACATTCCGTAACCCTGAGGCTCCCAGTCACCCAAACAGGTCACGTTGGCCGGCGCCCAGGGCTTGCTGGGAACCCAGCATCCACCTGATATTTGCTTGGGGTAGAAGGTGAAGTTCACAAAATGTTACAAATCAACAGCAGAAAACGTTCCTTACTGGTGTTAAGTAACAGTTGTTTTTTAAGCACTCCCTGTACGGCCTCGATTATTTCTGGAATCATCAGAGAAACTGCGAACAGTGGTGTGTTCTGCAGAGGGAACCCCAAGTGAGGAGGCCGACTCTGCACCCCACCCCCAATACACCGTGTCCTTGGTCGGACTTATCTTTAAAACAGAAAAGACCTGGCCCAGGCCACTCAAAGGGAGTAGAAGCCTCAGTCAAGTGTGAGGGTTATTTCTGAAACACACTTCAAACACACTAGTTTGAATAACAATGTTATTCTTAAAAGCGCACTTCTTCCGGAATTCAAGTCCAGGCTCCCATCGGCAACAAAATGCTGGCCTGCCAATAATAACCATGCAGAGTGACTAAACATTTTTTCCAACAAAGGGTAAAAAAAAAAAAAAAAAATGCTCCCGACCAAAGTGCAGAACCAGCTCCGGGCCGGAGCGGGCGCGCGTTTCCGCCTCCCACCTTCCCACCGCCTTTGGAGCTCCGGCTGCGCCTAATTGCTCCGTTGGAACGCGTCCTCTAAGGCTCTGCCAGCAACAGCGCCCCAAACACCCCGCCCCCTCCCCCGCCCGCCGCGGGGGTCACGTGACGGCGGAGAAAAAGTAGGGGAAAGGTTAGCGGGAGCCCCGCCCCCGGCCTGGCGTGCCCCGGGCGCTCAGATCCTGTTCCACCCGCCGCGCCTCCGGAGAGACCTTCCGCAGCTTTCGGGCGCGCGTGGCCAGCGCTGCCACCCAGGCGACCGCGAGCGGAACGCGGTGCCTCTTCGGAAGGCCGAGGCCTGCGTGCTCAGCCTTCGGGGCAGCTGAGAACTTAGTGTGCCCGGCCACATCCCACACCCGAAACGCAGCCCCGCGCCCCCGCCAGCCGGGAGCGCGTCCGGAAGGGGCTCGCCGGGACGCACCAGGAAAACTTAATTAACGGCGTTTCTATGAATGGGCAACACGGGGCCAGGGTTGCGTAAGCGCGGGCCTTCGCCCCAGGGCTCCCGGGAGGCCCAGGCTTGACCGCTCGGTGAGCACTGGGCCGAGCCGAGGCCAAGGGCGCAGCGGCACCAGGTTTCTCCTCGTCACCTCCGGGCTAGGCCGTTTGTTTTCAGTACACACTCGCAAGGTTATTTTGACCTGTGCATGATGCCAGTTTCTGCTACTCTGATACAAAGTATGCGCGCTCCTAACGATGGCCCTGTTTCTGATTCAAACAGCTGCTCAGATGGCGACCCATGTGCAAGGTCCAGTGGAACCTCGCTGCACGAGGAGGAAACCGGACGTTTGCTCGCAAACAGAGCCGCAGGGCACACAGACCCTCGTCCAAGTGCGGCCTTCCGTCCCAATCAGACGCGTCGGTCCCAGACACTCCCTCGCCTCCACCACCAGCGTTATCAGCCTCCCGGCCTCGTATCTACACCACACTCACCCACTGCAAGTCACCTAAAGTAACTCGGCGAGGGGAGGGCGACGCTTGTTGGCGTAAATAAAAGACCAGCGAGTTCGGCCATATTTTTTTATTCATTCGGTGTGTGGTTTATAAGGAAATAAACATGCTTGAATATCTGGAATGACCAGAAATCGGACGCCTGTGCAAGAAAATGGTGTAACAAAGACAAGTTTCAAAAGGTGAAACTGCCATTTTCTTCGGTAACTTACAAAGTTACCGGTTTTCTACTGACATCTGCCCTTGGATGTTTTAATACACGGAGCCCAGAGGGACTGAAAGCCTGTCCCAAGTTGGGAATATTAAATCTGTCCAGTATTCAACCTGGTGAATTACTTGGCATTGTTTACTGACGGTGTTAAAAAAAAATGAAAGTAAAATCAGTCGTCATCTTTGTTCTCTACAAGGAAAGCCAACCACCATTTACATTATAAAGACGCTGACCCACACACAGCCCGGCGAACAAAACGAAACAAACTAGCAGGGGGAGTTGGGGTTAGGGACTCGCAGGCCGGGTGGATCCTGGTCACG